TTTGTACTTCGACTCCGAAGTCAGAGTCGACATTCTCTGGCTTGAAGTCATGCTCATTGCTCTTAACTGATTAGTCGAAATTTATGAAGCCGTTTTAGCCGATCGTGGGCAGGTGGGATAGGAGCTGTAGGTTCTGTTGACCGTTGTGACTGGTGGACGGTGGTTGTATCAGTAAAGAGGTCAGACCAATATAGGCCCACACTGAGTATTCAAACCTACTGGACCCTCTCATACCACACACCGTTCCGTCATTTCTATCCTCAGGACAGTCAAATCCCTCTCCTCCACGCCTCAACTCCTTGTTCCGGGCTGGACGGGCAACTTTATCCCATGCGGGAACCCCCGATAAGAGCACGACCGTAACCGGGTGCGGTGACTGGTGTGTGCTTAGGGTGCTGGTCGGCCTGCCCCTCTGGACGGGCTCAGCCTCGTCGACTCATCAGGGTGCTCACCCAGACCAAATGTCCCCCCTCGCCCTCCCCCTAATTCCCATCTCCTTCCGGCTCTGAAATGGTCTCGTCAGACCGAAAAGTCCTAACCCACTAAAAAAATCCCAGACCGTGGCGAGGTCCTCTGACCTCTCACACCAGCATCAGGTACTCTAAGGTCATGGTGAACTGGTGAGCCCCTTCGGCTGTCGTTTTGCCTAGCACGGGAGGATGGCCGTTTAGAAGTGCTTGAGTATTGTGAATATTCGAATGTGTGGCTTATGCAGCTGTCACCCCACCCAGAGGACCGAACTTCAGCCTTTGGTGGGTGTACAGTCCACAGCAGAAGTAATGTGGGGTTTCAGTCATGAGTATGTTCTGCTTATGAAGCTTAGGAACGATTAGCCAGACTACAATGAAACTTTGAATGTAGCTTAGGTATATGTATCGTCACCCTTGCAGCTGCAACTTTAGCTATTGACATCTTCTTTTCGATCACTCCGCATTTAACAATCGCCAGTCAAAGCCAACCGTTGAGATTGGTAAAACCCTACATTACTTTAGCGGTGGGTTGTACCTGAGCCGCTGAAGTGTCTGAGTTCTCAGTTGTACCGTCGAACTGACCAGCATCAGTAGGTATTCTTTTACAAATGGTTTATTTCTGTTTACATGACTCCATATTGAATGACCGTTGCAAATAGTCACTTTTGAAATCCTTTATGGCCGATTTTTTTTAGGGGACGTCCCCCCCCGGATTCATCGACTGCCGGCGGGGGGGGCGTCCCCCGTCCCCCCGCTTTCGACGCCCCTGCTATCTATAAACACTCAAACATCGGTTTATTGGAAAACATGACACACCCGAATATTGCACCCGTTACCCCTTTGTGTGACCCTGAGGTTATCTCAGGTCATGAAGGGTCACCAGCAGTTTTTTTAAAACTATTTCTTTTTAATTGATATAAGAGACGACAGACGTGCTAGAGCGGTAAAAACATGTCAGATGTGTTCAACTCGGCGATACGGATCAACTGATATGCAGCATGACCCTTTCCGGTCAGGCCATGCCCTGACCCGAGGTCAAATTTTCCAAATGACCTTAGAAGTCCGAATTTCATTCGACGCGACTCGACGAGGGGAACACGTTGCTGGTAAAAGTAATGTCGTGGCTCCCTTCAGTCAAAATCTGTTACCTAAAACTTTTTTTCGTATAAACCAGGGATGCGGAGCCGTGGAAATTTCAGACGGTCCGGCTCCGGCTCCGGCTCCGAGTAAAATGGTCCGGCTCCGGCGGCTCCGGCTCCTTCTCAGTAGGTACATCCCCTATGCGATTAATTATAAATACCTACGGGTGGAAGAGAAAGGGCGATTGAAATTGGATTGGTACACGTTGCCTCTGTATTTGCATAACAAGGCTAATTTGAATAGTGAATACCACATGGTCTTGTACTGTCAAACCGAACTAGGTCAATAATTTTTTCTTCTTAAAAAAAGAGCCGGAGTCACCCCCTTTTTTGACGGCTCCGGCTCCGGTTCCGGCTCCGGGCTATATTGTTTTACGGCTCCGGCTCCGGCTCCGGCTCCGCAACCCTGGTATAAAGGGCTATTTTTATATTGTTTGCCCTCTGGAACATGGAATATATCACATAGGACAGGAAAAAGGTTAACTGTGAAGGAACGGGAGGAGCTGACGATGATAAGCGCGATCTGACGGTGAGATGAAGATCCTTGCGGAGGCTTGGTTACGGGGATAGTGGACACTTCACGACTTATTAGGCACTTCTGGTGTGAAAACAAAGGGCAATTAATAAACCCACTTTCGGTATCGGTCTCCATTATCGACACTTCAGCGGCTCAGCCTACCTACATACGTGCCGCGCTTGGATACGCTGCAATGCGTCTTCATGTCATATGTCAGGTTTGTAGTGGTATCGCAGCGATGTCGCTACCAGCAGCTACGCACCTCCGTCTTGAGGATGTATGGTCATTATAGGGATGCCACTGTATAGAGACTCAGTGATGTCATACAATTCCGTCACTTATGAACCGTACGTGCCACCACCTATCGGACAGCCATTGAACTAATAGTTTACAGCTTGTACAACAGATGTTACTATTTTGGATGATACGGTCTTGGATGCTGCTGTGCCAAAAATGTTTTTTGGATGATACGGTTTTGGATGCTGCACCCTTGGATGTTTCACTCTTGGATGCTGCAATTCCTCGTCCTTGGTTGCTGCCAATTTGGATGATACGATTTTGGATGCTGTGGTCCTGGATGTTGCAGTTTTGGATGTTTCGCTTTTGGATGCTCTGAATCATCCCTAAGGGGTCGGTTTTGGATGTTATTTGGACGTTTTGATCGCTGGATGCTAAGGTTTTGGATGTTGCGTCCCTTGGATGCTGCGCTCTTGGATGCTTCAATACTCACCCAGTTTGGCTCTCGGCCCGATGCGCATAACAAACGGAATAGCATACAAATGTGGCGCACTTCCGTAGCAATAGAGGTGACTGAATTAAAAACTTAATATCTTATGTCTTTTTTGCATTTAATCTGCTCTCAACATTCTCAATTAACTTAACAAAAAAAAGTTAAACATAAAGTTGTCTTGCTTTGACTCATTGAGCACTTGCCTCTCTTGATTCGTCTGTAGTGCTGTCAGAAAAATGTTTCAACTGAAAGTAGGTACTTTGATTACGGAGCGAGCGAAGCGAGCGTAGTCTTTCCTTAGATTAACGGAAATTTCTGAGTATGAGCGGCCGGCCGGCCGGCCGGCCGGCCGTGGTCACGCTTTTGAGAGGCTTATATCTCAGCAACCACTTGACCGATTTACACGCTGTAATTTTTGTAGGGTAGCTTCATTCCTTCTACCAAGTATTGGACTATTCCCGATGCATGTGGGTGACCCCTTATGCACGTGCCACGTGCAAAACGAAGAGATGTCACTTTTGTAATTGTTGCAATATCTCGGTAACTACTTGGCCGATTGCGCTGAAAGTTGGCATGTAGGTAGGCACCCACTAGGCACTGCATATACATGTGCCAGAGTTGGGGTGCTGCTGCACGTGCGCACGTGCAGGGGTCGTTTCCAGATCTCGGGAACGGCTGGACCGATTGCGCTCAAATTTGGTACACGGTTGGGGACCGGTTAGTAGGGTGCCGTGCACAAGTCAGTTGGGACCCATTTTGCACGTGCGCACGTGCAGGGTGCCGCTTCCAGATCTCGAGAACGGCTGGGCCGATTGTGCCCAAATTTGGCACATCGCTAGAGACCAGTTAGTAGGGTGCCGTGCACAAGTCAGCTGGAGGTACCCCCTCGCAATTTCGCACGTGCAAGGCCCACCCTCTCGCTCGCTCCGTTAGTCGCCCCAAAAGGCGTTATACTGGTATTTTCTTTTTGGTTTTCACTATATTTATTGACAAAATACCGACACATTTTTTAAATTATTATTTCAAAAGAAGCAAATGAATAAAATACCTATTATTTTGCATTTTAATGTTTCTTTTTGCGAAGAAATAGTTCCTGTAATACGTATCTTGGTCCTATTCGCTTCTAAGCCTCTTTCTCTGCGGATTTTGTTCGGACCGCCGATTCGTATTAGCAGGTGGATACATGAGCCGGTAGTACGCTCCTGATTCGCATTAGCGGTGAATCCGATCGTGATACGTATTTGCTTTGCTCATGTAACCGCGGATCGGATCGCCGATTCGTACTAGCAGGTGGCTACATGAGTCGGTAATGCGTTCCTAATTCGAATTAGAGGCTAAATACGTATTTACTGTGCTCATGTAACCCCGATAATTATAGAGTTCAGTGCCTTGGACGCACTCGTGTACGCTGCTTTGCGCGCAACGTCTGCCGCACTTTAAGGCTGCCAAATTATTGCTTCCAAATAAAGTCGCTAGTAACAGGGGAGATCAACAAAAGTAAAAGCCTAATATCTTGAAAACCAGTGAATATTTTTCGGTGAAATTTGGTAGATATTCGTTTTCGCTCTTTCTGAACCAAGGGACATCACTTTCATGCCAATTCATTAACTTTTTTGAAGGTGGGAGGGTCCCTTTAAGGGGGTAGGGGCACTGCCGACTTTTGGTCCCATGCTTTCCATGCAACACCCATAGCGCTAATGTTAAAATGCCAAAATCAAAGGGGGCACGGTGCCCCGGTGCCCTCCCCGTTCCGCCGCCTATGCTTCCTGCCCCCTCCCCCCCCCACGCTCAGCAACCTTGACTTTGCCGGGGATCGGGCCGGCCATGAGTCCCCCACCCTCAAGGCTCAAACTGAAAGTCTGAATCCACCCTGGTGCCCTAGCTAATCGCTAACTAGAATCAGCGCACACAGATGTCGCGGTGTCGCATAGATGTCGCAGCGACATATGCAGTGCAAATGGTAGCAGACAGCAGTAGTTTCCCCTATCAAAGTGGTGGTTTTCTACCACAGATACTCGTCGAGGTCGGAATTTCCAAATACGCCCTGCTATAAGAATACCGAGACTTTTTCATGTTCCAATGACGTCATTTAATTCAACAGTGCTTCCACACCCACGTCAATATACTTACAATACACCTACCTTGACTGTTTACACCACCGAGGCCATAGAAATAAAGACCCGAAGCTATCGGTGAGTGCGAGGCCGGTGAGTGGTGAGTCCAAGGTGAGTCGGTGACGCCCTACCTCTACCTGGGTGACGCCAAGGGTCATCTATAGACTTGCTATTGCTATAGACGCCCAGTGACGCCTGCGCTACCGTTACCTGTATTTTTTTGTTTGTTTTGTTGGGTTAGGCGGTCGAAAACTCAGAAATTTTGATGTCACTTAAACCTCGATATCTAAAAAAAATCTTACCATTTTTTTTAACTATCATAATAAACTTCAATTTATTCCCTATACAGGTACTCAAAGTTTGGCGCGCCGTTTTTTATGCTATAGGTAGCGCTGCAAAAAAGTGGGGGCGTTTAACTCCTCCCTGCGCAACTTGCGGATTCAGAGGATACCTATTGGCAAAAGATGGGAGGAGGAGGTCAGATAGATTGAGATCCTGCGCCCCTCCTTGTGGTTGGAGCATGGGTTGAATGGTTAGCTTGACAGTTTATTATTTCACGTACTTCAGCCATTCTTTAATTTGGAAACTATGGTCAGAAACACGGAGGTCCCCAAGCGTTTTCGTTTTGGTTATATGAATCCATTTCTACTTTTCTAATGTAAAAAAAAAAATGCCACCAGTTGCTCTGCTGTGTGATTTTTTTACTTCTTCACCTTGGCCATATAGCCTTGGCATGTTTGAAAAATTTCTGTCCAGCAATCATGTTTTGTTTGTTTGTTTGTTTTTGCATCCAACATTAATGTGCCAGAAAATGGTTTGTGGTGGGTTCTCATGCGATCTATGATGGTAAATGTCACGGTGACTATAAAATATAAATGCAACAACAAGTTCGGAGAAGATTTCAGTCGGGCGCACTGTGGTATCTCCGATTCATTTATGGAGACGTTTCTATTATTGGAAACGTTTCCAATTTTGACTACTCTTCTGTTCCAAAAATGGAAACGCTCGTTCCATAAATAGAAACGCTAACATCTCCGCACATATTTTCTTGCCAAGGGTGGCTGGATTCGATGTATAACAACTGTTTCGCGTAAAACAAGCTCAGATACACCAAAAGCACTTGTCTTCTTGCATGGAAAGCTGTCGTATGCATTAAAATTCACGTCTTTAAAATGCTCCTGAATCGTATCCATTTATGGAGACTTAGTTTCCAAAAATGGAAACGCCGATGTTCCAAAAATAGAAACGCTGAAGTTCAAATGTGTGCAAACTTAGCTTAAATGTGTTTTTAAAATTCACATGCAACTAAAAATTTGATGTTTTGGGACTGGTTTAGCATCTCGGCTCTCGGCAGTTACCTTGGACGTCGGGTTCGATAATAATACCTTACGCGCCGCAACTTGAGCACATTCAAAAGTCAACTAAAACTAAGATTTCCCAGAAACTACTGGACAGATGTGGTCCAAAGTGGGCAATACATAAAGCGTAGATATCATTTCAATATATAAAATTAATATCAATGTTACACATGAGCTAGAATGAATAAATTCGTCGTCAGAATACAACGGTATTTGGTGTGACGACGGTACAGACCTTATTTCCATCCTGCTTTTTACGTATTTGCACGGAGATTTACGTTGATCCGAGCCTACGATCATATTCAGCACATTTGAAATATCATAAAATGCCCACTTAAGTCTCCAAATAGGGCTTTGCAACAACTTTCATGCGATTTAATCAAAGATTGACGACCACCAGGCCGCTGGTACACCGGAAAACGCAGCGTGAAAATGAATGAAAAACTGAAGTTCCCGGTGATGTGGTTGTTCCAATCAATGGGTCAGTCTTTCAGTAGTCTGTTAAAAACGTTATTTTTTGTTCAAAACATTCATAAATGTTATTATTTTCTATTAGAAAAACGTGTGAATTTTTTTATCACGTCAACATGTTATAAGCATCGCCTCGTTCGTCAACTTTCGGTTTTCTGATCGGAAAGTCGGAGAACAGTAACATAAACTAGAATGCTGGCTGTCGATTGGTGGCATCCTGCGCATGCCAAATTGCACCAATCAATGCCCAGTTTGCTTTAAAGGTAGCGATGCACACAGCGTCTCCATTTATGGAAGTTGGAACAGATCGTTTCTATTTTTGGAAACGGCGTATCCATTTTTGGAACATTGTTCCAAAAATGGAAACGTTTCCATAAATGGATCGGAAATACCACAGTGTGCCCGACTGATTTCAAGGATATTTTTTTTTTCATATTCTTACGTTATTTGACATCCTGAATGAATCCAAAAATGATACGTGTCTTGCAAATACAAGGGAAAAACATCAAACAAACCTGACCTAACCTTACCTATGTTCTTACCTACCTACAACCTACAGCCTAACAACCTACAACCTAACAACCTACAGCCTAACAACCTACAGCCTAACAACCTAACAACCTACAACTTAACAACCTTCAACCTACAAATTATCAACCTACAAACCTACAACCTAACAACCTACAACCTACAAACCTACCAACCTCAAACCTACAAACCTACAACTTCACCTAACCTACAACTTATAATTTCTACTGCTGGGGCGTTCCACGACAAATCGACAAATAAAAAATTAAATTTGCACCCTCATATTTTATTTTTCGTTGAAAACTGGTGTAAGGGGTTGTGATGGGCGGGGAAGCCAGCTGTGGCAAGGATTTTTTTCTTCGAACAACGGTTTCCGAGATATAGCCTCGGGCAATTCCTGGAGGTCGCGCTGCAGCCCTATGTTTGGCGGCCTATAACTCAGAAACTCTTGGTTTTCTACGATAAAAACTTTATATGGTTCGACTCACAATCAGCCAACAAACATTTTGGCTATCTCGGATTTTCAATTTTTGAAAATTTTGATCACGTGACCTTTTGACCTATTTTTCGAAGAGTGACCTTGATATTTTCCCCACTGAAAGTTGCAATTTTGTCTGATGACGATTAAAGCCTTATCAATTGTCATTCATATGCGAAAATAAAAAAAGTGGATATCGCCCTGCGTTGACCTCAGGTCAGGTCATTTTTATGACCTGTCCATTATTACGAGCGGGAGCGACAGCGAGATCTCGAGAATTAAGCAAGATAGCTACAAGCGGTAAACGGTGCAGGGTACAAATGGATAAGGTCTATAATTTTTACTAAGGTCATTTTCAGGTCAGGTCAAAGATGACGTCACAGGAGCAAAAAGGAAGCCAAAATTGCGGCACTACATATATATGAAGTTTTTCTAGAATAACTTTCAAGGTATCCCATCTAGGAACAAACTAATAGCACCATCGTGATCCTCTCGTCGATCCGCATCGAAATATATGTATGTTGACCTCGGAAGGTCGAAAGGTCAAAAGTTGACCTTAGGTCACGTGACGAGCGGGAGCGACAGCGAGATCTCGAGAATAAAGCAAGATAGCGACAAGCGGTAAACGGTGCAGGGTACACACGGATAAGGTCTATAATTTTTATTGAGGTCATTTTCAGGTCAGGTCAAAGATGACGTCACAGGAGCAAAAAGGAAGTCAAAATTGCGGCACTACATACATGAAGTTTTTCTCGAATAACTTTCAAGGTATCCCAGCTAGGAACAAACTAATAGCACCATCGTGATCCTCTCGTCGATCCGCATCGAAACATATGTATGTTGACCTCGAAAGGTCGAAAGGTCAAAAGTTGACCTTAGGTCACGTGACCTTAGGTCAACTTTTGACCTTTCGACCTTTCGAGGTCAACATACATATGTTTCGATGCGGATCGACGAGAGGATCACGATGGTGCTATTAGTTTGTTCCTAGCTGGAATACCTTGAAAGTTATTCGAGAAAAACTTCATATATATGTGGTGCCGCAATTTTGACTTCCTTTTTGCTCCTGTGACGTCATCTTTGACCTGACCTGAAAATGACCTGAGTAAAAATTATAGACCTTATCCATTTGTACCCTGCACCGTTTACCGCTTGTCGCTATCTTGCTTTATTCTCGAGATCTCGCTGTCGCTCCCGCTCGTAATAACGGACAGGTCATAAAAATGACCTGACCTGAGGTCAACGCAGGGCGATATCCACTTTTTTATTTTCGCATATAAATGACAATTGATAAGGCTTTATTCGTCATCAGACAAAGTTGCAACTTTCAGTGGGGAAAATATCAAGGTCACTCTTCGAAAAATAGGTCAAAAGGTCACGCGATCAAAATTTTCAAAAATTGAAAATCCGAGATAGCCAAAATGTTTGTTGGTTGATTGTGAGTTGAACCATATAAAGTTTTTATCGTAGAAAACCAATAGTTTTTGAGTTATAGGCCGCCAAACATAGGGCTGCAGCGCGACATCCAGGAATTGCCCGAGGCTATATCTCGGAAACCGTTGTTCGAAGAAAAAAATCCTTGCCACAGCTGGCTTCCCCGCCCATCACAACCCATTAGACCAATTTTAAGCAAAAAATAAAATATGAGGGTGCAGGGCACTTGTCGATTTGTCGTGGAACGCCCCTGCTGCATATTTCTATCAACAGCGCCACAATTGTAGATCAGACCTTATGTTGACGGATACCGCTATGATTCATTACCTTAGTGGCATTCAGATGTTTAACACTAATGAATCACCATTGTGTTGTCCCCAATTTTGGAACCATAGCACCATACCTGGTTGCCTTTTATCTTACCATGGAAGGTCAGCACTGATACATAATGTTTTTCGTGTTTTTTTTTTTGCAGACTGGTGAAGCATCAATGACTGCCCCTGTCTTGTGAGACTGGTACATCCAAGATGGCTACGGACAGTACTGAAGTGCGCCAGTGGCGGCTTCGAGAAACATTCCTGAACTCTGACAGCGCTACTTTTCTGACACAGCTGCGGCGCGACCCGCACCTCGACATAAATTTTGTGTATGGTGAGCCGGCGTTTGAGCCGCTGCTGCTGACCGCGTGCCGGCGACACGACACAGAGCGTATCGGCTGGCTGCGGAGGGCCGGCGCCGACTTCAACACGCGCGACCTGTCGGGAGACCGGACGGCGCTGCTGTGGGCAGCCGAGGGCGCCGACCGCCAGCTGCTGGCGCACCTTCTGGCCGAGTCGAGCGGCGCGCAGCCAGCCGAGGAGACCAGCTTCATCGGGCCGGCGCTGGAGCTGAACGCGCGCGATAGCGCCGGCCGCACGGCGCTGCATCTGCTGGTGGCGGCCGCTGGCCGGCCGGCCTGCCGGGAGGCGGCAGAGGCCGGCCTGCGCCTGCTCACCGTCCGTGAGGACGTGGATCTGGGGGCGCGCGACGAGCGTGGTCGCACGCCACTGGAGCTGGCACTGGAGCTGGGTCTGCCGGACACGGCGCTGGCGCTGGCTCAGGCGGGCGCCGAGGTGCCGCCGGCTGCCGTACGCCAGCTAGGAACTGACGCGGCGCTGCACCCGCTGACGCCGTTCGTGAGCCGCGCGCCGCGCCCTCGGCCCGCCGACCAGCAGCTCTGGGAGACGGTACACTTGGATGGGACGGCCGACGCCGTCAGCGCTGCGCTCGACCGGCTGCCGACTGATGCGGCGGCGCGGCGCCGCCTGCTCGACAGCCCGTTCGGCCGCTACACATGCCTGCAGTGGGCGGCGCGGAGCGGCCACCTGGAGGTGGCGCGGCGGCTGCTGCGTGCCGGCGCCTCGGCGGCCGCTGCCAGCGCGCTGAACCCGCAGCCGCCGCTGCTGTACGCCGCCGAGCGGGGCGACGCGCCGCTGCTGCGGCTGCTGCTGGAGGCGCATCGCTGCGACGCTAAACCCGTCCAGTTGACACCGTTGCGCGACTCTGGTCTGCGCGGCAGTGACGAGACGGCTCTGCACAAGGCGGCCCGCCACGGCCCGGCGCCGGCCGACGCCGATTTCGACGGCTGTGTGGCGCTGCTGCTGGCTGAGGAGGTGGACGTGAACCGCGCCAACGGCGCCGGCCGCACGGCGCTCCACCTGGCGCTGGCGGCCGGCTTCGAGGGCGGCGCGCTGCGCCTGCTGGCGGCCGGCGCCTCGCTGGCGGCCGCCGACGGTGCCGGCCGGCTGGCCGTCGAGCTGGTCCGACCGGAGACGCTGCGCGCTGCGCTGGACGCCTGCGTGCGGCCAGTGCCGCCGCCGGCGGCCTCTGAGGGCGACGAGCCGGCCGCCGAGACCGAGCAGGCGCACAGGGAGCGGGAGCAGAGGCGCCGGCTGCGGGCGGCCAACTGTCAGCTGGAGGTGAGGCGCCAGCCACCAGGCCGCTGGCGGTACCTTGTTTGCCTTAGATCGTTAAATCCCAAAGAAAGGTTATCCTTTGTTTTGTTCATATCGCCCAGAATACACGCTGGACAGAAATAGAGCATGCATCATATGAAAGGTCGTTTTCTAATTTTATTGTGTTAATAAAATTAGTCAACATCTCGCTTCCTAGACGGTAGACCCCACATTTACTGCTTTTCCACATGACTCACGTGTCGGGTTGAGCACATGATACAGTGTGTCCCATAACTTCGTTCTCACCTACATTTTACTTTTAGGCGTTCTCTTGTTTCACGACACGTTCGACGTAATTCGTGAATTAGCTTATGTGGTTGCAATGGCAACTGGCCGTATGCGCAACGATGACACTGCCGGATCCAGGGTGTCAGCGCGGGGGGGGGGGGCATACCAGGTCACGGAGCCAAACCTAGGGTACCCCCAAATCCTGTTTTCTCATCGGATTTAGGCCACTTATTTTTCGTCATAGCCCTGAAACGAGTTTTTTTTTCTAAAAAAAGAACAAATGGTAGGACACCTGACCCCATTGGCAGATCCAGGAGGAGGAGGCTTTTGGGACAAATACCCGGGCAGCGCCAGAAATCGACGAGAATTGGTGGGGCCGGTGGGGCCCTCAGAATGACTGATGTGTAGAGCCGACCCAAGGGCCGCTGGTGTGGAACCTTAAGAGGTACTGGCGTGGGACCATCAAAGGTATCGGTGTGGGTTCCCCAGAGGCAGTGGTGTGGGGCCCTCAGAGGCACTGGTGCAGAAACCACAAAGGACTCACATGGACGCCGTTGTGGTGCCTCAGACACTGGTGTGGCGCTAAGCCCACACCATTCACACATGGCTGTGTGTGGGGCCCTTGGAGTTGTTGGTGCGAAATGCGAATGCTTAATAACCCAGTAGGGCCTCTCAGAGACCGACAAAGGGCCCTCAGAGGCCGGTGACGGGCCGTATGATGCCAACAATGGGCCTTCACAGGCCGGCAAGTGAGGGCCTGCAGTATCTTCAGGAGCCCTGTGGAGTCCTTAGAGATCAGCATGGGCCGACTCTCAGACGCCGGCTGGGCCCTCGAGAGTCACCGGTGTAGGACCTACAGAGTTACCGGTGGCTGTGTGCCAGAGGCACCGGTGTGAGGCCCCAGAGGCGCCGGTGTGGGACCCTCAGATTCGTGGATGTGGGGCCTAAATAGCCACTGGTGTCTCAGAGGTGGCGGTGTAGGGCCCTTACAGTTGCCGGTGGACTTTCATTTTTCAAAGGCACCGTTGTGGGGGTCATCACTCCTCAGAGACACAGGCATGGGGGCAAGGGGTCTTCGAGAGGCCAGCAAGGGGTCGGTAGAGGCCTTCAGGAGCCCTGCGGGATCCTGGAGACAGGCGTGGTACTCTCAGGCGTCGCTGGGAGCCCTCAGAGTCACCAGTGTGGGGCCCACAGAGTTGCAGGTATAGGTAGCCGTCAGATGCGCTTGTGTAAGACCTTCAGAGGCGCCAGTGTGGGGCCCTCAGAGCCGCCGCCGATGTAGGGCCTTAAGAAAAATTGGTGTTAGTTCCTCAGAATGGTGAAGTTGGGCTCTCAGAGGCGCCGGTGTGAGGCCCTCACAGGAGCCGTTATGGGCCATCAGAGACACTGGTGTGAAGCCGCTCCATGCGGGTATGGGTCAGGATCCTAATTAGAGCTGACGCTTAATAGGTCAGCAAGGGCACTCAGAGGCGAGCACAGGGCCCTCAGAAGCCGCAGTGGGGCCCTTATGGAGATGTGTGATGTGTGGCGACTCAGGAGCCCGTGACTCCGAGAGGTGCTCTCACGAGTCCTGTGGGTCTTATCTCATTCGAAATAAGGCACGCTTTGACCCTGAGCGGCCTATTGGCTTTGCAGGGCCTCTCGGGCCCATAGGGCACCATGCATCTAATGAGGCGGCACGCGCCCCTTGTGCCCCCTCCCCCCGGTTACGCTGCGCTGGCTGCGGCCATACAGGTAAATCGTATTCTAACCGTCCCTATTCCCAAGCATAGGCGGCGGCCGATTCCTGGTTTGCGCAATATGACTGCCGTCGTTAGACAATACGGTCAATAGGGTTGAAGCGGCATTGCTCCCCTGTGGTAAGAAGCAACATAGTTTTAGACAAAATAAAGGCAATGACAACTAAATTGAGGTTACTAAAACGACTCTGATCACAAAAGTAGTTACTAGGAAGACTTTCTAATCCATTTTATTTAGTTCCTCGTTATAGGCGTAAGAAGTGTAATTCTGAATGGGGGGGGCATACTTGTACTGAATGCCCCCCGGCTTCTGTCCGGGGGGCATATGCCCCAAATGCCCCCCCCCCCCCTTGGATCCGCCAGTGAACGATGACTTTTTTCTTGAGACAAATCATTTTCTGCTAGACCGCCCAGTATTTGTAGAGCCGTATGACGCCGCAACATGGAGGCCTCCAATAAGGACACGTCTCGGTATTTAGTCAGCCATGGGCCATTCGCTTTGGTTGAAGGTGGTTTTAGCCAGCCAGTCTGTAGCCAACATCTGTCGCTAATTGGGCGCACAGTCATCAAGTGATGCCGATGATTTGTCGGGGGTCAATCACTGCAAGGGTCCTCACGGGGGTCCTCTTTCCAGTCAACCTTCAGAAATGAGCCAAGTGGCCAAAACTGTGCGGTACCAAAGCTGCCGTTAAAATGTCAAAGCGTTGGGAAGCTGATAACTAGGCTCTTCAGGATGGATTACCAGCTGTTTAACATCATTTTTTCGAGGTAAACAACTTTCGGTCACTTAAGCTTAAAACTAACCGGAGGACTTAAAACGGTCGAAAATGCCTTAAAATGGCCAACAATTAGTTCCATGACGCCTGACGCTCAAAAACTGGAGCACTGAGGACACTAGTAGATCACCCTGTAGATGACTCAGGTCATCTACAGGGTGATTTTTTTTACTTGTTAAAAAGTAAGGAGGTCTAGTGGCGTTAAAATGCAAATATATGTAGCAAAATTATATACCAGGATGACGAGCATTCTGGGACATTTTGATTTCATGCAGACACGATGTGAAGGAACGTCCATCGTGTATTTTACTTGTGATTGAAGTTACCCCCTCTCTCACCGACACGAATCAGCCCGCCTGAGCACGTGTTGAACAGCACCATGGACTCCCATACTCATTAGGCGGACTGAAAAGGCTCCTATCGCCCATTTTCAGCTCTGCCAGATATTTCCACTGTTTTCTCGTTATATCTGCCATAGATGGGTCCAAAAACTAGAAGTCTAGGGAGGGCAGGTCGAGGATTTTGATACGGACGGCACTGGTGGTGTCTGATTCGCTGTTTTTCTTTAAGACTGATTCTTCAGAGTCTGCACTTACGCCAGATAGACCGTTTGAAGGTTATTTATGACTACAAGCTTGTTCATGCGTTATTTAACGTCTTTCTGAGGTATCTCCTCGATCATCGTATGCTTCGAACTGCCTTAATGCTTCAAAATCATCGTTTTGTGTCGTTCCTTACTGAACGGCAGTGGACCATGCGTGCCCGATTGGTGGGACATTTTCAGGCTCCATTGGGGCCGAGGCCGTCGATGAAAAGGGATAAATGATGACACCATACAAAATGTCCCAGATTTATCTATCACGTGCATTGCTTTTTTGCACGCGATTTTTCGATTTAGGGACCACCATTGACGTTCACTTTTTAACAGTTAAAAAAAAAAAAAATCACCCTGTAGACTATCTAGCTCATGATCGAGATGAAACACTCGTCCAAACCCCAAAACCTTATCATAAGGGCGAAGGAGAAGGCCTCCGTTTCGCCCCGCTTGGTTCCTATGCAAAAGGCCAGGGCCACGGTGTTGTGGGGTTATAGGCGCCCAGGTGCTGACTATCCAAGTTGCACGAGGTAGTCCCAAAATAGTTTTTGGACGCAAACTGATTCACCACAGAGATCTAGAAGTATCTACCCTCTAGCTCAACCCTCGCCCGTATTGGTGTTATTCCAGCCGCGAACGTATAAGGGGGGGGGGGGGTCCGTTGGACCCCCCCTTGCCGTTTCGCCCCTGATCGAGCTAGAGCTTCGTGGAAAAAACGAGCGTGTTGCCCGTGACGAGAGGAAGCCGATGATACCTAATTTTAAGGTCCTAGGTCATTGGTTGACCTTGCAGGTCAGGTCAATGACCCAAAAGTCGGGAAAATCGGGACCTGTTAGAACGTCGTAAAGTGTGGCTGCTATGGGGTTTTTCGGGGCGCTGATCACGAATTTCATGTTAGTTTTGATCACAGATGATGTCTTTATGCATTTAGTCCAGGTCGGGTCAGGTCAGGTCAGGTCAACCAGTAGGGGTCCTGCCGGGTATTCCTAGTAGGTGCCAACCGACTCTGACAGCTTCGTAACATGTTACGAAGGCACCAAAAATACTTCGTAAATGTTCATATGGTTGCTAAATTCGAATTCAGCTCCAAAAACTGGCCTAGAAACATGTAAAACTCGAAAAAAGTGAACCGAGGTCACCAAAGGTCAATGACCTGACCTGACCTTCAGGTGACCTTGACACCCACCCTAATGCATGGGGGCAACATCATATCACATGTTTGAACGCTTGAAACCACGAAAAGACTGCAAACGCGCGGCCAATGCGAGCCGACATACGCCGAATCGCGATTCCGGCCAAACATGGTCTCGAAAACTAGGTCACAGGTCAAAGGTCATTAGAGTCAGGGTCACGAAAATTTCAGGGTAGGTTTAAAATTGATTAACGCGAGGTTACTGAAAGTTTCGTCGCAATCGGCCGCTTTTTACGCGAGTTATTCGCGAAACAACATGGGGGGGGGGGTCCGTTCGACCCCCCCCCCCCCTATACGGGCGAGGGTTAACTCGAACCGCCAGTATGGACTCAGTTTTGGAGGAGAAAATGGCATCAGGAAGGTCGCAAGTCCGTCTTCAAGCGAAACAGAGCATCCGAACAAAGGTCAAGAAAAGCTCAAAGTGGTTACAGGGG